TTTTTAACTTTACTTTAATTTGTATCCTTTTCGGTTAGAGATAAGCAAGAGTGAAATGATACTCTGCCCATAAATGCGTGTATCGCTATATTGATATGTATATATTTACTTTCTCGTTTGTACTCCCTTGCCATGCTTCATAACCTTGCAACATAGGAATTTCCCAATTTTATATAGAATTCATATTTTTTCAATGTCAGTCTATGTGCTGATGTGTTACCCTTATGCTTAGCAATGTGTGAAAAAAAGAAAACCAGCCTTTTAGTTTTTTTTATTCATTTTAAACTGGCAAACAGTTTTAGTGGATAAACAAAATATTTAAACTTCAGCAATATATACTACATATAATGGGGCGTGTGGTGCAGTGGGTTGTCCGTAGGTGTTCGGATCAGGGGGTCACAGGTTCAAACCCCACTGCAGTCAGCATGTCGTCGTGTCCCTGGGAAAGACACTTCACTAATGTTGTGACTATTACATTGCAGAGTGGAATTCATATTTATTTGGACCATGGTACAAAAGGACAGGAAATGGGATTTTTCTTGTTTTTTCTTTTCAGGATGCTTCTTGCGTGTCCTTGAGAACAGCAACACTGTCTGCATATTCTGCGACTCAGCAGCTGTGGATTTGGATAACATAACAGTCTGCACCTACAGTAAGGACAAGGCCTGTTTTCAAATAAATAAAATGTCTGAATGTAACACATTTAACTTTTAAATATGCCCTTTTTGTGTGCTCACTAGACTATACATTGGAGAGGAAAAATCACACAACTGTAACGACTGTCATTCCAAAAATTGGTAAGATATCTCAATCCATTAGCTTAAGCATATTATTTGTTTCTTGGCCTATAAGAATATATTTCTAAAGTTTAAATTATACAAAAACAACTGCAATTTCAGTTTTAAGCAGATGTCCTTTAAATTGAGTAAATGAACCATGGTTAAGCTTTTATAATCCGTTTGTATTATTATCATTTGAAATGTAAGTTAGATAAAAGAACCCAGTTCCACAGGTTACAACCTCTGTGTGATGTAATAGTAAATAGCTCCAGCATCTAATATATTCAGAACCTTTCTCACAAATCATTTAGTGTGTTTTCTAATATTTCTCAACAGGAGGGCCAGGTGTGGCAGCCTCTCTTCTTCTGGGAACACTGTTGATCAGCCTGTTCCTGATCCTCTCTGTTGCCTCCTTTTTCTACCTCAAACGCTCCAACAGACTCCCAAACATCTTCTACCGCCGCAACAAAGGTAAGCACTACGCCGCTCTGAGAGACTGTAGTTATGCAAACAAAGTGCTGTCAACCCACCACACTCATTAGATCAAATATACTAAAGCATGTACACACAATGTTAATGCTACGCTCCAGTGATAATACCTTTCTTCAGTCAGCTAAACTGAAACATAACAACATCTTGTGCACTTACAGCCTTCATATTCCAACCAAGTGAGACAGTGAGTACATTTTATGTTTCCTTCACAATGTTTGATTTTATTTTTCATATCCTCAGGAGTGTCTTGTAGTACAAAGACATATCTGTGTTTTTTTCTCTTCTAGGCTGTAATGATCCCCTCCTCGACAGGTAAGACGACTTCACTATCTTAACCAGGAACTTCCTGCTTTGATTCTCTGACCCTGCTGAACTGGTTGTATGTGAAGCTATGACTAATGGAAGCAGTCCAACAGTAAAAGGGATTATTTAGCAACATTGTAGACAAGTGTTAAATATATGAAAGCTGATGACAAGCTTGAATTCCCAAACGAAACGTGATCAAAGCATACAAATCCAGCTTGGAGTTATCTCTGCTATTAGTGTCTCCAGTGCTTGTCTTCTCCTGTTTTCATCAAAGGTGATTTATGTTGCCTTTTGTTTTCTGTTTCTTTTGAAGTGAGGAAGCCAAGATATGTCAGAAGGGAGCAGCCCGCTGCCTCCGCCGTACCTACCACATCCACCACCCAGGTTTATAATGTGTAGGACGGGGAAGAGTAGGAGGAGGGGAGGGAGTGCTGGTAGGAGAGAACGCTCAGGAACGATGTAAGGTTTTCTTCTTATCATGTGAAGGTTCAGCAGTGTGAAGAACACCTGGTGGCTTGTACTGTACGTAGGTAGCCATATTTAACTGAAGCTGCTTATGCTGCATTATTGTCACTCGGGCTGTTACTTTTCCTCTATTTTACAAGAGTGTGGGCTGTATTAAAAAAGTCTTCTTGACACAGTCTCTATGACTAATTTATGTTAAATGTGTTTGTTTTTTTTACAAAACTAGTTTCAGTATTTCTCTGTAAGTTTTAAACCTTATAGGCTGGTTTGTGTTTATTTTACACAGGCATGCAGCACTGTCGGTTCACTCCGTTTGTTTTTACAAGTTAACACTGTTATTATCCATCTGCTGTTTGAACTATGTCATCAGTTTACTTATTTAGATGGTTTCGATATGTGGACTTGTCGAATTAAGAAATGTTTTGAAGTTAAGCTTCTTCTCATCTTATTAACATGTTTTATCTCTTTAAAATGTGTATAACAACTGACATGGGAAAACTTTTCCACTTGGTACGGGTCCCACGACTGAAGTTAGTGAATTATCGCTTTTACACTTTGGTTTTTTGATTTATCGAACAATATTACAGTTGTGATGAGAGCTAAAAGGTGCTGGTGAGCAGATCTGTTACCTTGAGACGAAGCCCGGCTAGCTGTTTGCAGCCGTATGCTAAGCTACGCTAACCGGCTGCTGTCTATAGCCATATTTCTAACAGATCTGACAGTGGTATTGATTTTCTTATCCAACTCACTGCAAGAAGGCGGATAAACTTGTTTTTTCTAATGTCCAACTACTCCTTTTAAAGCAAAGAACTATAAAGCCAGTGACCAAGTGACAGGGCTTTTTTAGGGGGGGGAAAGTGACAGCCCAGTGACATTTTATATTTTGCTAAATAGAATGTTATTTACATGTGTGATATTTATTTACATTTTGTAAAGTGCACTGAGGTTTACTGATTACAATCAGACCAACAGAATATATGATGTGTCAAATAGCGGGGTATTTTAGTGTGAGTTACTAAAGACACCGTATGGATGAATGTGTTATTGCTTTAGTTTTTTTATTATTGCATTTGTATTTATTGTTTTTGTGAGCTTAATCAAGGTGAATGTATTACTCATGAACAACGGCATTGTGCATCGCATCATACATTTTGTTCCACAACAGACCCAGTGAAACATGAAAGAGGTGAAGAATTTAAAGTTCATATTTTTATATAGGAAGGACTGTCATCTGACATTTAAAATGCATATTTTTGTCCCTAAAGTATATCTAGATTCCAATAGATCTCTTTCCTTTAGGAATATAAAATTACTGAATCCTCGTGCACTTTATTCGTCTGAGGTCATCCTTTTAAAAGAAAATCTCAAGACTAGTTGCCACCAAGTGTGATTGTGATTTGTGTTGTTGTTGTATGGATGGCATTATATTGCTGCATTTTGAATTTTACTTGACTTCTATTAATTTTTTGCCAAATGTTGTCTGAAGAAAACTGTGTGCCATTACTGTGATTACTGTGCCATTATCAGCTTTAAAACAGCCAGGAAACATTTAAGAATGATGTGAGGAATAATTGGGTATTTAAATGATATCCAGTGGCCTTTACTGTACACTATCCTAAAACGAGGCTAGATATCTAAGTTTTATTTGCTATTTAACTAGATATATTTCTGTATGTTGATGACACTAAAGCAACTTGAAGTGAACCAGATAAAAGGCAGCAATCATTCCATGAATATTCCCCTTTTTGCTTGATGTGTTTGACTTACAGACAAACATTAGCTTGAAACATGTACATATTGTTTTATACAAATAACGTATTGCTTTTGTAATGAGGTAATGTACATATTCTAGTTTCAATGCCATGCAGAATTATGTATGTAATGTTTGGAGAAATAAAGCACCTTTCCATAACCATTGTTTTCCTCAGTTAAATGAACTCACGCTGCTGTGTTTTCATATCGTTCAAAGACAAATTAAAAGTTGTTATGTTTATTTTATGATTACTGCTGCTAATAAATAAAGAGAATAAATAATTCCTAACTGTGTGCCAGACATTAATTTATTTTTACATGACCGACAAGTTATTCTGCCAATCACATTATAATTGTATTGTTTTATTAAACAAATGAGAAACAAAGGTATTACATGTCTTTATATTCACTTGTGGTCAGCAGGGTACTATCATTATCTCTATGTAAATAGATAATATACATATGTCTTCCTTCTCTGATAGGGACGCTGGAGAAATATAGCTTTCATCAATTAAAATGATTTTGAATATCACAATGCTGTTAAGGTTTTAGGGAGGACTTAAATATATATATATAGATATATAGATAGATAGATAGATATATATATATCTAGATATATATATATATATCTAGATATATATATAGATATATCTAGATATATATATATAGGTTTATCTAGATATATATATCTAGATATATATATCTTTGCTATCACACATACCCTGACACGATCTAAAGACAGACTGGCAAATGTGTTCAAAAATATTTAAAGTAAGACCAGTTAATAAAATAAAAAAACGACTCATTCTACACTTGCGTTTTTGATTTCAAAGGGTTTTCAAGTACTTCTGTGTAAGAATTGAAACAAAGATTAGATGGTTAAATTCTCTGGGATTTGTAATGACGTACAAAGTTTTGTGGATTCATCTCTTTTTTTTCTATGAGAGGGAAGTAGCATGTGTTGATATTTGTTAATGTCTTAAATAAATGTGAATTATGTATAAATAATACCCATGATCCATCTGCAATGTGTCTTGTGTCCTTGCACTTCTACAGGGTTATAATGGAATGTATTTTGGGAGTCACCTCTAATGACTGTAAGAGGGCTTGTATTTTTAAGGTACTGAAATGTCATACCTCTGGTAATAGAGGGACGGACGACTGCAGCTACATGTGACTGGACATACTACTCTATTTATAACAGTCGAGTGAAAGGCCCCGGTCTGACATACACAAGGGCAGACGGACATCAGAGCTGAAATGCCCCTGCAGGGAGTAAGAACTGACACCTCAAAGTGGACGCTTCGTCATTCTGTAACAGGTAGGTTTTCTTTGTACTATAGAAACTAAAAAACATAAACGCTCTTTAACGATATGCTTCAAGTTGATTATGTAATCGACTAGACCTGTAAACGACTTTGACGCAGAGCAAGCGATCCTAACAACTCCACACCTCAAAAATAACATTCAAACAATAACCTGTAGCTAAACCATACTACAAATGTGATCAAGTGCTAAATCCAAGGTATTATAAACATTGCATCAGTGACCCTCACTGAGTATGTTTGCTATGCTGATACAGCATGTTGTGTCCTGACATTGGACAGCTGAATTTTTCATATCAGGTCATATGACCGGAATATTTTGAGATCTGTTATGGCTCTTGTGACTGTAGTACTCTGGTGTTGCTTAGCTGCCCTCTCAAGCTTTGAACTAACTCAGGAGCATGTTCAAGCAAGGTTAAACTCCTAACCAACGCTCTATATTTAGCTCAAATTAGTTGATGGAACTTCAACTGTAACTCAGTGGGGATACCAAGGATGTACTGAAACACATTGCATTGGCCTATTCAATATACCTAAATATGCCACCTTTCCAACATTGATCTTTTGTCTTCTTCTTTTCAGATTCAGGAGCATGTGAGATATAAAATGGATGATTTGGATCACAGCATTCACATTGCAAACGATGACTGGACCAGCTTCTATGAGGAGTGCGAGGGGTGTGGTCTGGTGCAGCCTTCGCTCGCTTGCCCTGATAGCTGGAGCCTCAGTGATTCAGAGGAACTGGGCAACCCAAGCTCAGTGTCCAGCGCAGGCCATCAGGAGCCAGAGCACAGCTGTGCTGCAAGCAGTGATGGAGCTGAAGGCAGTGCTGCAGGATGCTGCATGGAGGAAGAGAACTGCACAGATGGTGTGAAGTCTGTATCAGTGCAGGTGGTTCAGTGTGGTTCAGCAGGAGAAACTAAAGCTGAAGCAGGCCGTGGTAATCCTGAAGAAAATGCCTTCAACACAGCAGAGCACATCGAAGAGGAGAAACATGCTAACATCAAAACTACACTGCAAATTGAGCAACTAAATGTTCAGTGTTCAGAGGGAGAATCGTCAGAGCTGAAAAGAGGAGATGAAGCTGTGCAAATTGAGACTGACATTCATGGCCTCATATCCACGCAGCAACCTGACCCCATTTCCTACAACCTAACAGAGCTAGACGGATCTGTGAGTGAGGATGTGAGTGGTTTAAGAGCAGAGAAAGAGCGCTGGTTTGTGACAGTGAACGAGAGTCCTGCACGACAGGGAGTACGCGCTGCCTCTGTGAAAAAAAAACGAAGGCAAAAAAAAACTCGTAAGGAAAGATCACTTGAAAACCACTATAGATTAGAGAAGACAAAAGATAATAATGAATCTGAGGTAGAACGTAACTTAGTAAAAAAATGTGCTGAAACAGATTCTGAGAGTGTGCCGATGGGAGTCATTTCAGATTCATCGCAAATGTCTTTAACTTCTGATGAGGAAGACAATTTGTCAGAACAACTGGTGATGTCTCCTTCCCCTCAAGACAATATCATTGAGCCAACAGTAGAATTCAAATCAAACAACAGAATTACACCCAGAAAACCGATAAAGTTAGACAGTGTGGAGTCTGACGTATATGAAGACGGTGTTGAGTTCTACTCCACTCACAGTTTTGACTCTGAAAGCTATCTGTCAGCTACCGAATCATGGGAGGATCTTCAGCATCTCCTCAAGGAACATCAACAACTGCAACGCTCATTATCACTGACAGAAAACAGCTATCTATTCAATCTGACTGAGATTACCGAGGCAGACAACACGCAAGATAGAGAAATGCTTTCTTATGATGTACCAGCTTCTAACTGTGAAGGTCATGAAAGCACCGATGTTCAGCCATCTGCTGGGCAAAGTGCAGACAGAATGCCAGAGGATATCTCCACATGTGATAACCAAACACACAGCACACTTCCTGCACCTACACCTGGACTCCAAAAACAGGAAGTAAATCATTTAGCATCTGGTGGCTCTTCAGTAAATCAGTTGCTCCCCATTCCTGATTTAACTGTAACCCCTTGCTCTGTGGCCGACAGCCCTGAAACATACGCCGAAGCCGCGGGACACACTCGACCTGTGTACGCCATTTCTGCTTTTTGGGATGAAATGGAAAAGTTGACGATAAATGACATTTTGCAGCTCAGGGTGGGTAGAAGCACCCCTCCCAGAGATACAGTCACACCAAACGCAGATGGCCCTTTGCTCGACACAGTGGAGTATAATTTGTCTGATGGTGTTCTGATGGATACATCTGACACTGCTGATTCAGACTATTTCACACAGCCCGACGAATCCAAGCGCGATCGTTCAAGCTGCGAGTTCTCCACGTCCGATTTTGAAGAAGAGTACTGGCAGTATCTTAGCGCCAGTAGGAACCAGAGTCCTGACCCTCAAAGCAAAAGCCAACAGAGCCCGGGCGACTCTCCTTTCACAGCATATGAGAAAGAGGAGTCTTTAAGCTCTGAAACACCTGTGCCTTTAGAGGACTATGCAGAGGATCAGGAAGCCAGTGATTTCCTTTTGAGCAGACTTGGGTTGCCAAGACCGATCACAAAAAGCAAAAGCTTGCAAAATCTATCAGCTTTCAAAACAGAGGATTTATCTTTGCAGTTGTTACTCGGCAAAGATGAGAGCAGTTTGTTTCTCAGCAGCTGTCCATCTCTGGAAGAAAATGTGGTTTTAACAGCTAGCGACAGCCTGGGAACACAAATACCTACATCTTTACTGGGTGAACATGATCAGATATCCTTGCCTGAAGTGTTTGAATACCTTTACAGCGATGATAGGACAAACGGAGACTCCCAATGTGTTAAAGTCTATGATCCAGTTGACATCTCAATGGTTTATGACTACTCTCTTTGTGCGTTCAGCGATGAAATGTCCTTCTCTTTCCTCTACAATTTCCCACGCAGTGAGGAGAAACCCATCCCCATTTTCTCTTGTTCTCAGCCCCTCATCAGAGAACTCACATTCCCAAATCCGGACTTTGTTTTCTTGCGCTCAGACTTCGAGGAGGAGGGCGACATCTCCCCATTCAGGATCATGTCTAGCTCTTTCTTCAAGAGGGACGATTGCGGGGTGTCTGCCTCAAATGGATTTTACAATTGGAAAAGTTTGATGAGGAAGGTTCGCTTTCCTGACAAAGGGAGCATCTGGTGCAGTAGATCTGGAGCCACGGTGTTCCCAGATGAGGTTGAGAAGATCACCACAAAGAGTGCGGACCCACCACTCACAGTGCTCACTGCCAGGAGAGGCTCTTCGTCTCCTTTTCTGCTGTTTAGCGAGCTAGCATTGCAGAAGAGGGTTTTGGACGCTCTACAGGCAACAAGTACGTCTGAGCTGCTTATTCTCCAGACTGGATTCAAACACACCAGAGCACATCTTATTCAAACATAACCTCCTTTTTTGTTTATTCTTGTTTATGTCTCTTACAGGACAAGAGGGCATTTTCTCCTCACTGAAGCAGTCGGATATGTGCATGGTCTGCATCGCCTTTGCCTCCTGGGTGTTAAAATCATCTGATCCTGAGTCTGCTGATGCCTGGAAAGCAGGTATGAAACTTTTCCAGGGCTTCACAATACATCATTCGTTTATAAATCGTCATCACAATGTCAACTTTTTCTTGCCTTTTGTGCTCAGTTCGATGAACGCATTTACATAATGGTGGAAATAATATTATTTTCTTTATTTAACAAGATATTTGTTTTGATTCAACAGTATAAAAAAAGTAACAGAAGGCACTTTTTTTTTAATTCAACAACTCCTTGTATTGATATTCTGCTGTTTTAGTCAATAATCTACAAAGGTAACTGGTGTCTAAAATGCAAACTTTAAAGACAGTGCAACATCTTTACTCCGTCAGCTTCTTTCTGGGGGTGATGTCCTGCATTTCCTTTTTAAATATCTGATGAGTTTTTGAGGGGTGAACACCTTAAAAATCAATAACTCATAATATTAACTGAGATATAATTAATTTTTGAAACCACATGTTGAAGGGCTTTAAGTATTCATTATGAAGAGTACTTTGTAACTTGGTGAATTGACAATTCTTCACATTAACCTTTATTTTAATCCTGTTCAGCTCTGCTGGCAAATGTGAGTGCGCTGTCGGCCATCCAGTACCTGCGGCAGTATGTGAAGAGGAGGAATCCTTCCTAACAGGATCCCTGATACACAACAAAGAAGAGCGCAATCATTTCCAAACACTTTCACTTGGGTCCATCTATAAGGATATATATACTATATATTATGTACTGTATGTTATATTGCCTCAGAGTTTTTCATTTCTTTCCTTAAAATAAAGCATGTATGCTAGTAAGACATTTTTTGCTAAGTATGTTAAAGTTCAGTAATTTTACGTAAACAGATTCCATGAAAAGAGACAAACAAAAACAAAATTCTAATACTAGTTAAAGTAGGCCATATATTCAAGACCAAGTTGGAACAAATTGGCTTAGGGTTGAAAGCCACAGACAGGATGGGAAAGTTAAAAAGTTGTTGGTTTTGATCTTACAATGGGATTTGTTTACCATAAGAAAGTTAAAGCTTATGCCCAGCATTATCGTTTAAACATTAAAACATTTCAGCTGCATTTTAAACGTTAAGATAACTGGGTAAACTGATGTTATGTGGACCACTATGTTAGCACAGATACTCATAATTTGTTGTGCCCTTTGTGATTGTGATGGCTTTGTATGTTATACGGCTTTAAACATGCATGTTTTAATGGCAGCTTGTAGAGAGCTGATGCAAAGTGTCTCTGGGAGTTTGTTGTAGAGGATGAAAAGGTGGGTGAAAACCTGAAAAGAGTTGCGTTGTAGAGTATTGGTCCGCCTGTAAGTTGTAGGAACGTAAAGTAAGTGACTGCAGGAGCTGTGCATGATGGGTAAGCATTGGTTCCCTTATTTTGAGCTTTGTGCCCATTCGATACAAAGTAATGTCAACTTGTGACTAATCACAGGCTCACAATTTGTTTTTGTAGTTTTTACACATTTGACACTTTAAGATTATTATATTTCCATAATGTCACACAGGCTTGACAGGGCTAACCCCGTTTTAAAATACAAAACAAACAATGACAATCTGTTGCAATTTTTTTTTTTTACCTCTGCCAACGAGGTTGTATTACTGCTTGGTTGGTCTGTTTATTTGTTTGTCCGTCAGCAGGTTGAAGGAAAAGGTACGGGCCTGATTTGCATGAAACTTGGCAGAAGGGTGAATTATGAGAAGAAGAAGACCTTCAACTCTGGAGTGGATACAAATCAGGAGGCAGACACAAAAAATATGTTTCATTTGTTGCAATTGTGAGACAGGGCATTATGCTGCATTCATGGGATGTTAGAATAATCAGAGTTTGTGTGAATGTCCTCTCATGTCAGCCACCACATTATGAACCACTGTGCCTAAATACTATGTGACTAGTCAGCTCATCTGCTGAGATATTTTACAACCTGTGTTGCAACAAAATGTAAACTTTAGAAATAGCTAAAAATATATATATTTTCCTATATAATTGATATAAACTAAAAATAATTGACATATCCGGTTTTGTTGTATCAACTGCTTTTATATTTTACTCCTGAACAATCTGCTGTAGCACATCTTAAAAAAGAGTTTCTGTAATTAAGCCCTTACCGATATTAACTGTGGACAAATAATAAAAATTTAATTTCAACAGCACACAAACTGAAAGTAATGTCTAAAGTACTAAAGTTTGTCTGTGAACTAAGAGGAATTTGTGTCTTTTACAAACATAAGAACGTATTTCAAACACATATGTATAATAGTCTAAGAGCTAGTAACTTAAACCATGTGTTAAAGGAAAATGGAAAGATGTATTATACTTAAGATACTTAAGATCTTATTTATACAATTTTAAACTAAGATATGGCATTTTTGGGAAACAATGATATACATATATTTTACTTTGATCAATTATTTTATTTTGAGTATGCAATGACAAATGTACAAAATAATGAATGTAAAAATGGTACGTATAAGCTAAGGCTCTAGCACTGACCTTTTTGGGTCATAATATTTGGTTTGTTACTATTTTAAAAGTAATGACGTGAATTTGTTTGCTGTATGTATTTGAGTGTTACACAATGAAAATGACTGAACTTAACTAAACGATGTCCTCTTAAATCACCAGGTATATCAGTTATATGAACATCTCTCAAAGAAAACTGACGACAACCTTCATCAAGGTAGAATTTATTACAGGAAAGTATTAGCTTTAGCTAGGTGTACCTTATAAATTGTATATACCACAGGCTATTGATACAAAGAAACTCCAGGTGCAAAGAGAACAAGGGGTCATTGCAGAAATATTTATTGAAATAAATATGCAATGGATACACTTTTATATTATGTCACATAAATATTGAATTTAGAGGCAGTTCTTTCAAAAATTCCATTAAAATGTTTAGGATTTAGTTTCACTCCAATTCATTTGCTCTCGTCAAAACAATGTAAATACATTATTCTAACAAAACGTTCTGCCTTAGCGACTGGTCCAATTAATAATGATCTTACTTTATAATACTCAATACTGTTTTAGCTTATGATTTACTGCTATCGTGCTGGATCGAAGGGCAAGTGTTCACATCTACTGCTATATCAATAGTACTCATTCATATAGAATATTGCAAACATTTAATATTTACAATCTCAAAAATGAGCGAATAAAAGCTTCGGTTATAATGTGAAAAGATATCTTGATATATAAAACTTTAGGATTTAGACAAATATTTAGCAGATTTAAGAGAAAAAACAATCTATACTATGCTCTAAGCATCACAATGCAACTTGCTACTCTAGTTTGGTGAAAAAAAAAGTCTGAGTCGTGCTAGGTCGTTAGAGTCATTCAAACACTTATTAAAAGGTCATTCTGTACAAGGAAATCATTTAGAAATCATAGGTAGATATTTCAACTCAACACCAAAGTCAGTCTGTTTTCATATCCTTTATGAGAGTTATATTTTCATTAGCAAATTCACGTCACTGCATATGAAACAGTTTTACAGTTTGTTAGAGAAAAATCTGTCACTTCAAATCTCACATGAATGGGTGAGATTGTTTGTCATTTTGATAATAAAAACTAGTATAAAGTCTTAAGTGATATGAAAATCTGAGACGGACGTTGACAGTCCAATAAGTGCTGAACAAGGAATGCACATAAAGATCCACAAAGATCTTCCCTAAAATATATTAAAACAAAAAAATGGACTCACAAAATACTCTCTTACAGTCTTAAAAGTACACAGTATTCTATTTGGGTATGAGTGTAGGGATTCAGGGCATGCACCACCTGGCACTCAAGATGGCTTGTCACCTTCTTTCTTCAGACGGCTTCAGCAAACAGAAACAAAGAAACAGGGTCAACACTTTTGTCAGTGAGACACATTTTACTGGAGTTCAACTAAACATTGTGTAATTATCTTGTCTTGCACGGTATATTGATATGAGAAATACATCACAATACCCTACCATTAGGAAGGGTACAATAGCCGTGTGGGGGTAATAATGAGAGGGTGGTGATTGTGCATTGCTATGCTACCACCTGCTGCAGGCATTTCGGGCGAGATTTTTGTGTCATACTGAATATGAACGCTTCACATACGATGGCTGTTTTCGAGCAGCCACTGCTCTTGGACAAAGCATCGGGAGCAGAGCGAAATATGGCTCTAGAATACTGTAGCTGAGTCGCGCTTATACTTATGAATGTCTTACTGTTAATGTCTTTCATTGTTGTAAAGCACTTTGAATTGCCTTGAGTGGAAAGGTGCTATATAAATAAACTTGCCTTTCCTTGCATATGAAGGTAATTAAATAACGGAGCTGTTGATTGCTTCTACATTGTTAAGAGTAGCATAAGCGCACTCTTTAGGTTTTAACCTTTCACAATAAAAGCCCTGGACCATATGTGCTATATCAACTCAACAAGTAAGCTTCCAGTATTGCTGACACTTATCTCAGCAAGATTTGAACCGATTTTTAGAAGCACTTTGACATTAAAGTTGACGTTTTCCCGTGAAATTGTTACAGTATCACTATCAAGATTTTTAAGGCAGGTATTCAGATACTGTGTCAACACTAGAATAATGTTGATGATTATGGCTCCATCTTAGAGAAACTGAGTAATTAATATGGGACTTTAAGTATAATGCAGTCACATAAAGCTGCATAGCTACCATAATACAGTGATACCTCTGATTGTTGAAAGCCTGTGCACTACTAGATGATACATGGAAAAGCCTCACCTGTAGTAATCTTCCTGACTCGGGAGTTGGCCTCCATGCATGTGATGCGCATGCAGCCACTGCTGCTCCATCGCCATCCTCTGCAGCTCTGCAGACTGGGCATGCATCGCCTGGAGTTGGTGGGCAGCAGACATCTGAGGAATCTGACCCTGCAGCTCTCGTTGATATGCTCCTACGGGAAACAGAGATTTAATAAAGAGTCAAATTAAAAGGGACTGGTTTTAAATTGTTGGCTGTTGGAATGAGTTGATGCCTTCTGAGCACTAGAGCAGTGAGTGTTTACGAGTGGTTTTATCTTTTGTTTGTTCTTATAATGTCAAAGCTGCTCCAGCGTATCATAGTTGCTAAATGTATTGTCAACATTTCAAAGGGACAAACATTGTATTTTCATGCTTTTTTATAGATTTGTGTAAATCTGTGTGTTATAAGAACTGTCTCTGTTATGCAGGCTTTCATTGTATCTGTACACTTTTGTTCACTGCTTTTATCTTTTGATGGTCTGTGCTTTTAAACTTTTCCCATACGCACCGTCCCTGTCTAATAAAGTAATAAACTAAACTAGGAGTTGGGATTACGAACCAAACAGTGGGTGGCGCAGCATCTCATGATCATGAGGGAGATCGCCCAGTAGAGCGTTGGGGATCTGGCCCCCGGGGAAGGGGTAGCGGGCCAAACGTGGGCCTCCTTGCAGAGCTTCCAGAGGATGAGGGTTTTGACCTGGACGAAGAAAGTAAATCATTCAGTACATTTTGGTAAAACTGTCAAATGTTCTAAAGTCCTTAAGAATTCTCCCTCACATCTTTCGTCATAGCAGTGAAAAGCTCCAACATCACCTTGCCCAAGCGGATCCTGCTGGTGCAGGTGGAGGTGGGAGTGAACGTGAGAGTGTTGGTGGTGGTGCGGCGTCACATTGAGCATCTGCAGCCTGGCGGCGGGGTCGGCCCCTACAGACGCCATCCTCTCTGCGTGGAGCCGCTCTGCAGTGAGTCGCTCTGCGTAGCTCAGCTCGGGGCGCAGCTGAGGCGCAGCCAGCACCATCCCTCGCTCCATGTGGTTCAGGCCGGGATGGAACTGGGCGAAGTGGTGGGGGGGCCCGGGGATGTGGGGGAGGCCGATGGCCCCGTGTCTGGCAAAGTGCTCCATGGGGTTGGCAGATTGGTGTACCATTTCCATTTCTGGGGGCTTGACCTCATAGCCGGGCTTCATCCTCTCGTGGAGCTCCCTCTCGCGCAGGTTCCTGAGCTCGCGCTCTCTGAGGTTGGGGTCAGCGCCGTACAGGCCCGGCATGTGGTAGGCCAGCAGGGGGTCGCCGGGGCTCAGCGACACGTAGAACGGGTGGTTGCGGTTTGATGGCGACATGACATGGGGTCGGGCGTAGTGACTCAGGGTGCGCAGGGCGGGCGTGTCAGGGCCGATGTAGGGGGGCACAGCAGCCACAGTGGTGGGCGGCTGCTCAAAGGAAGGGCGTCCGTGGCCGTGAACCGTCATCTGAACATCGCTCATACGACTGTCGTGGGAGGAGCTGGAGGCTCTCTGCAAGCAAGCAAGATGTTTCAGACAGTGTTCATTTCAGCAGTTCATTTCGATTAAGTGTTAGTATTGCTTATGTATTATAAATAAGAAATAGACTCACACTCATTGCATTTCTGTCTGCCTCCCTTTCTCTGTCTCTCTCCCTTTCACGTTCTTGTCGAACACTGTACTCAGCATCTCTCCTCAACTTTTCCACCGCCTCTTCTCTTTTCTTGGCCAGCTTGGAGGCCGTAAGTGGAGTGAAGAACAGGTCTGTTCTGGAACAGGAGTTGTAACCACGATCCAAGTGTTTGATAAACCTGAAAGACAAGATTCAACTTTTAAACTTTCAGGAACGATTCAGTTGTTCGTTGTTTAGAGCTCGACTCTTGTCAGTTTTTTCAAAAACAATTTATGTATTAAATTACTGTATTGCTGAAATCTAGGAATTCATTAACTCAACACGGACTACCTTCGCAAGAAAGTACAAATGGTAACTGCATCGTTATTCAGGCTAGTCTGAAATACATGAACCTCTTATTTGTAATGGGAAAAGAATAGGCAATGTTCAATAATCATCCTGCTGCAAACAGCTTCAACCACACTTAATGTAGCTATGATCACAAGCTGATTTGAAAACCAAGAGACACTCCTGACAGACCCTTTTGGTTTGAATCCAAATATGTTATTAACAATGGCTCCATTGTTCGTGTTTGATGTTGCTCTTGGTAACAGCTTAACACACACGAAGCAATACACTTCAACTAAGCCAACATAAAATATATTTAAAAACACAAAACATGATAAAGTAAGCACCTCAATGGATGTAGTGCTTTGAAATGCTGCACCATAGCTCACTGACTGACTGGAGCACTGAACTCAAACGAAAGAGCCTCTTGTATTTCAAATACTCTTGTAAAAGAACCACTTAGTTACCAGTTGATGCTTGTCGTTGAAAGCGATATTAACCAAAACCCCAATTATCACAAGATGAGGGAGATATTTATCATTTCCCTTAGACAGAGTTCCTCCCCACATACCGTGCAGACTGGCTGGCATGGCTGGCCATGTTAATGATGGTGGGCTGCGGCGAGGGGCTGCGAGATGGAGGCGGTGGGCTCTCAGCCTCTTCCATCTCATCCAGTGGCTCTTCTTTAATCTGAATTTGTGAACATCCTGCTGCCGCGCTCGGCGAGGGTCTCAGAGGTGGATATGACGGCTGGAGGCTCGGGACCGGACCAATAGAAGAAGATGCTACAGGGGGGAGAGGAAGTGAGGCTGCTGCCGGCGGGTGAGAGGAAGTCATGCTTTTCCCAGGGTGGGTCTGCACCTGAGAGAGCACTGGCAGCTGGGTAGGAAGGGACTGCATTGGCAAAGGCTGTGGCATGAGCTGAAGGGGGGGCGGCGGGGCGCCCGGAGGATGCGGGTTGGGCAGAGAATTGAGGGGCTTCAGAGCAGGGGGAGGGGGGAGGTTGGAAGGCATCTGAGGGAAAGGTGTAGAAGACTGATTATGTGGACCCTGTTTGTGTGAACTTGGGATTGGAGTGGTGGGAGGGGGCTTGATTTGAGGGCCAGAGAGAGAAGGCTGGGGGAGCTGAGACTCCCTAAAGAAGGGTGGGGGTCTCTGGAGGGCCTGAGCCGACGGGCCATGAGTCTGCAGAGGCTGTGCAGAGTTGAGAGCCGGCGGGACCTGAAATGCTGGAGACAGGGGACAATCCTGACCGAGTGCTGGCGGAAGAGGAAGGGGACCAGAGAGAGCGTGAGAGGGGAGCTGTGGGCGGGCGTTTGGTCCAGCTGGCTGACCGGCAGCGGGCTGAAGGGGGTCCGGAGAGGCAGGAGGGGGGCTCTGAGCGCCATCAGCTGGAGGAGTGCTTTGTGGTGGCTGATGAAGGATGGGATGGCCCTGAGAGGGGATGGCCTGGAGGGCTGGAGGGTCAGCCGGCCCCCCCGCAGCAGCAGCAGCAGCCGGCTCTGGCAGGATCCCCCCGGGCTGGGCCGAGGAGTCGGAGTCGCTCTCGTTGCCCTGCTGCGGGCTGGAGATGCTGGGGGAGGAGCTGCGGTTGTCCTGGTCGATGTCTTTGGTGTCGCTGCTGCCGTCATCCTGAGCGCTGCGGCTCTCTGAAGAGCTCTCCTCCTCCACCTCGGCCTCGCCCTCGGACCGCGAGCCCCGAGGATCCTGGAGCAACAAATAAACAAATTATGTAAATCACGCTTAGCAATAGATTATTAGGGTCGAAGAACTTTTTAAACACCAAACTCCAGCATCAAACACAATATAGTTTGAGACGTAGATCGAGGTTATTTACTGTTACAACATTGAGAATTGTTTTAATGAAAACAGGCTGGCTTTAAAGAAGCTCACAGAAAAGATGAAACCTGGAGAGAGGCTTGAGTAGATTACAGTGATGACAGACGCTCAAAAACGTAGGGAAAAGTTTCTGTTCATGCCCAAATAGTTTGAACTCAAACACTCTCAATGACCCTTTGTCATGTTTCTAAACATTCAAGGCCTTGATTACCCTGCCCCCTCAAATCCCAAAATATTCAAGGTTTCAGGGACGCATGGAAACCAAGACGACTGTTTTTCTTTGCAGAGATAACACTTTGTTTGACTCAAATAGTGGTGAAGTTCCCTCTCACCTGTGTCTTCGGCCTTTTAGGAGTAACTTTCTCAGGCTCTTCCGGCTCCTGGACAGGACTCTCCCGTACACGCTTTGTTGTCTTTGGTGATGTGACCTCTTCTTTTATCTTCTGTGGAAACCAGAGGACATTTTCACAGTGTTGTTAAAAATAAACAGAAAACAACGATGACACAAAACCTCAATGAGCGATGTTGAACAAGCATGTAAGGCTGCAGCAGCATAACATATTATGAATATATATATATGTTTTATGAATATGTTATATAATTCAGTTTCATGCATGCTGGGACGGACTTATCTTACTTTAAATAAACGGCTGAGTTCTTTGAAGATCTCCTCGTCAGAGCCATATTCAAACAGTCCAGCTCGTCTGATAAGAGAGTGTTAAAGTTATGTTTACCTTGTTCGTCTTCTTGCTGGATTCGTTCTTATTATCTGTGGAAGAAGATCTCAGCAAATTAGAAGTGGCTCCGCTGGGTGAGGGCTGGCTGCTGGACTGCTGATCCTCACTGGTGGGGGAGCCCGTGAGCCTCCTGTGGCCACTTCTCAAAGATGAAAGCTGGTTTAAAAAATCAATTAAAAGATCAGTATTCAATATTGTTGAAACACATGCAAGGAGGTGTTTTCCCAGTAAGTAGCATGCTAATCATTTTGACAGATTCAATAAGGGTGTGAGATCTCTTGTATATGATCATTGGAAATGTAAGTTGCCCTGACACTTTCTTTTGAAGGTTTATTAAGTGAGAAATATAACTGTATGGGCCTTAGGCTTACAGGTGCTCTGCTTCGTCGTGTCCTCATGCCGTGCTTGTTGTTCACCTCCTCTTCCTCTTTAACAGGTTTAAACAGGAATGGAGCGACTGCAGATTTTGAAGCTGGCGGCAGACTTCCATGTTTGCTTTCGTGCGAGTGGCAGGTCGTGCACAGCAACGAGGTGTCTCTCCGCCCATGGTGCCAATCTTTAGAACCTGAAGAAAAGAACACGAGTTTGACAAAAAGTTTAAAAAACGTTCTAGTACTGGTTACTCTTTCTATGACACCCATGTCTAGAATAGATTATAAACATTCTAATATGTCAATAAAATCTGTATAATTATAGCTATATAGAGCACTCATTGAGAGTCTTGTAATGCTCTACAACAACAATAATAACATTCAAGTCATTTTATGCACTATTCATTTTACTATTGTAATGTTTCCACTCTATACACAAAATGTATATTATAACTATAAATACACAGTGATATGACACAATATAAGCATGTTTATAGATGTGTTATAGATGTGTTAAAGACTTTGGCATAATGGAAATGTTTACCCAAGCACTTTTCACACATTTGAAAGCTGTTACAGAAACGTGTAAAACATTAGTACTAAAAAATACTGAGCCCAATAAATCACAAAGACATGCCCTGACTTGTTGCACCGCAGTGGCTGCAGCTCTTGACTTCCTGTTCACTGTCTTCACTGTCAAGGTCGTCTTCACTGGCAGAACTCGCATCCACTGCAAAGAAATATCAGCTTCAATAAAGTCATCCAGCTAATTTGAATTCCACACTTTGTCACAACGTAAGCTCACCTGAATAATTCAGCGATGGGGTTACGGGGACTGCTGCAGAACGAGTCTTGGCTTTGCGAGAGGACGGCTGTCGACGTTGCTGCCGATAAGCTCTAGTTCCCGCAGCCTCAGGAGTTTTCTTCCAGTGGTAGTAGAACGTGATCAGCTCCCCCTGAGGACAACAACACACGACTCTTTAGAACAATCCCGGTTATGTTTCTAATACAAAATAAAGCTGCTGTGAAATCACTGCATGCACTAACAAGAATGTTGCATGCAAAATGAGAAGTGTTCAATTACAGTCTTTTTGCTGGGCAGAAATTCTTTCCGGATGCGGAAGAAATTCTTTCCATACTGTCTCAGGCCTTTGATGAAGCGTTTCTGTGTGTGGTGGGGGGGGGTCGTTCGGGAAGGAGGGAGGGTGTTCGTGGGAAAAGTTAAGTGACATACAGTTTAAAAGAAAAGGCTCCAGTTTAGACAAAGTTAATTTTGTGATGTTTCGAAACATTTATTAAACACAAACAGTTATTATAATGAAGCACCAGACTGGTAGGGGTAAAAACAAAAAAAATATTTTACTGCAGGCTTTCATATTAAAGTGATTAAATTATAAGACAAAGTTGAATGGACTCTGAACCGTCTAAAATGCTAAGTATAGTTACATTCATAAACAGTTGGCATCCTTTTTATCCCCAAGGATTTTTTCCGCCTGCACAAATATTCTGAAGGTCTAACATTGACTGACCTTCAGTGCTGTATTACTAACTAAAGGCGTCTCACCACATCATCCTCAGACCAGCATTTCTCAATGAGCTTCGGCAGAGGCTTCTTCACCAGGCGCTGGAGAGCTTTTGCTGCATCATAGTGACTCGCATGGAGCTGGAATTGATCAAAACAGAGATGTTTGAATACATCTTTAGCATCTTTACTGGATACAGATGAAGTACATTTGAGTTGAGCTCCACACCATGTTGAGTGCGTTGAGTGTGGTATCATCACGGGAGGCTGCAAGACATCCATCCTCTGTTGACCCACCGTCACACATCCCTGCAAACGCTGCCATGCTCCTGGAGAAAGAAAAAGGTGAAGTTAATACAGAGAAGGTAATACCAAATCTTTCTAGAAAATTTAGTCTGATTATTAGGAGTGTTTCTGAAATCCTTAATAATACTGCTGTCTCCTGCAGAAAAAAAAGCATTGTTAATAGTAAGGCTGAACCCAATGTCATTTTTCTTTAACATTCAAAGCTGCTATTGAGGTTTTCTTTTTAAAAAAAAACATCCCCATCTAGTTGTTCACAAAGGACACGAAAATAATTAACAAACTTTGGCAAAGATGCTCGCCTTATACGTGACTGAAGAGAGTCGAACCTAGGTGACACACAGTTTAGTGCCGACACTGACCTGGCCGCTCTGAGGTACATCAGAAGGTCACAGTCATTGACCCCCGGCGTCCACATCAGATCCTCCCTCTCCGTCTGAGTCTGCAAACTGGGAACGGGCCGCGGCTGCAACTCTGGGAGTTTGGCCTGCAGTGAGACCAAGACAGTACCGGAAACAAATGTTAGACCAACCTTAAAGAACGCAACTGAATTTATGTTGAAAAACTGAGAATTAGATGGTAAAAACCCAAGCACTGTTTAAAATACAATACTGACAAGATGTTTAAGTAATTGCCAAACAATGATTTACATTTTGATTGATTAAAGTGTCAAACACTGGTCACTATGTGTAACTAAGGTAATTAATGGATAAAGGATTTCCTTATAATCAAATAGATGTAGTTGTTTTTTGCTAGTAGTACCTGCTCGAATCTGTTTAACATAATGTGATACTCAAAAAGAATTTCAAATGTAACACACAACAGAATAGCATAGACTGTCACTGTAAGACGTGTAAATAACAAATCATACTGGACAGACAGTTCTCACAAGTTACATAATGAGCTTTATCCAACACTCTGCAATCTGTATACATACTTATTCAAATCAGTGTTTCTACAAATAGACCTGCAATGATTAGCCGAAAAATCATTGTCCAAGAAAAACTATTTTGAATCAATTTGTTAACAGAAATGTTCAAAAGTGCTGATTTCAAGACTCTCTAATAAGGAGATTTCCTGCTTTTCTCTGTTTTATATCATATTAAACTAAACATCATTGGGTTTTGGACTGACATTTAAAGACACCACCTTGTACATTTTATTTGTTATATTTTATAGACCAAACAATTATTAATGAATCTAAACAATTGGCATTATAATCCATAAATAATCCATAATAGTCAGAAATGGCGTCACCATCTACCGAAAAACACAAAATATAAAAGGTGTACCTGATGACTTTGTCCCACTCTTATTTCTCCCTGTGTGCTGTTCAGGCTCCTGGAAAACAAAAATAAAGCATTGAGTCATTATCTGAACTAATAATAATATGCCACCTACAGTCATTGGACATTGGCAAAGAAAACGTACATTCAGTTATGTCCACAGTTGCAAGTGAGTGTGCTCTTCAAATAAGGAAGACAAAAACCACAAAATGTAGCAAAAAACACGATGTCCTGGTTTTATATGCATTACACTAAACCAAGACACTGCTATTATAATACTGTTATACATTAGTGGTATTTAAAGCTTATAAAATGTAGTTACGACAACAACTAGCAGTTGAAAATGAGAAATTATGATGATATTGTGTTAAAATTATAAGCCAGAGAGTTTTGTCTGCAGAAAAAGTCAGCAAGCAAGCTCCCAAAGTGTAGCAAGCACAAGTACTGCGAGTTGAAAACTGTGAGACGATTTTACAATTGTGATATTGTTGTGTTTACAATAAATGAGTCAGTGCAGGAAGTCAGTCTGCTATGCTGTATGCACTGTTATCTGATGCGTAATTATCACAGTAAAGACGTGTGATCGATATATCCTGGCTGTCAGAGCAGCTGTGATTTCAGCAGCAGAATAACATCCCGCCCCTACATCAGCAAGAGCCAATCTCAGCTGTGACCTGCGACGTTTCCTTATATTACATGAATGAAATCCGACGCTAGCTACCGCAAAAGACTGTCTGTCAATCAATCATACATGAGCTGCTAATTTTTACGGTCACCATTACGAGAACAGTGTGTGCTACTTAGTGAAATCCTAACAGGTTGACAGCAGCTGGCTGTCTCGGGGTTAACTGCGAGCTAAAGTATGCAATCAATAACAAATATCAGTGTTAGCGTGCACGACACGTCGCTGACACACACAGCGACCAGTGTCAGCACACCCACAGGGAATAACATCCGATTAAATAAACGATGCACAATCTGCATATGCTGACATTATTTGAAATAATACCTGCAGAAACAACTGCTTGCTGCATTTAGGCGTTCATATAAACATTTGTGTTTTCAACTAGGAGCTGCTAGCTGCTAACCAGACAGTAACATTACGCTTTTATTTGGCTAGCTTGTTAGCCAGACACGAACTTCGTGACCACTGACACTCCGACTATTTCACACACACGGCTCTCAAAGTCACGCTGCAAAACTGTTAAAAATACATATTTAATGCACAATAACTAAAATATATTTGCAAACGGTAAGTTAATCAAGTTACCTCCGCGGACTGAACAGGTCGTCCATGTCGAGGGCTGTTTGGATGTGGCTTGTTGACACTACGCAGCGCAGTGGGCGATACACACAAAAACTATGCGAATCCCCTATTACATGGCTATTCAAAATGGAGGCGGTGTAGTGGAGGGAGTCAGTCTATTTTTTTCCCAGTGCAATGACCTCAGCAGCCACAGCTAAGCCTTCAAAGTTCTCCGGGTGTGCATAACTGAGCATGTGCCGTGGAGAGGCTGCTCATCATCAGCTGCTGCTGCTGCTGCTGCTCGGGGAGGAAGCCTCCATTAAACACTCTGTGGTTATTAAACTATATTATGTAAGCCATGACAGTAACACCCGACCGACACAAATCGCTTACTAATAACATAATGCAAGGTATGCCGTATTTAATGGGTCTGGGGTTATAATATACAATACGAAAGTAAACATCACAAATAAATATATATGCATTTGAAAAAATAAAATAAATTTATCATGTGGATGCGATCTGTTGCTGTGATTTAGCGGGTACACCGGGCAGTTTATCACTTTAATTATTTATAATGTATTTTTTTTACACATGAAAAAAAAAAAGGATTTATTTCAAAATAACAGATAAGTCGATGGACGGATGCAAAGACTCTCAAGAGGGCCACTCCCCAGTGTAAATCCTTTATAAAACTAAACTAATGTAAAGGTTTAAAAAAAAAAACTGCAATTTGCATGTGATTTAAAGTATGATTGGTAAAACACATTTTATGCAAATTTTAAAATACAATATATCTGGTAGGTTTTAATCATTATGTACATAATATAGATTATGTATATAATATAGCATTTTGTTGACATAGCAAACAAAATCTGAATAACACTTGAATTTGTTACCGATATGTCTTTTGAGATATATTAACAGATTACACATTTGCAGATTGCAACACATAATATATTTTCCCCTATTTTGAGGCTCCAAAGATCACTAAATGTATGTGTGCATACTGTGGTACCAATTAGTTTTAATTTACAGTATTAAGGTCGCTGAAATAATATGACTGGGAATATTTGAAATATATCATTTTATGTTTTTTTAAAAACAAATTAAAACCATTTACAACAGCAAAATGAAATAAATATTCAGGATACATTTGGTCACTAATACAACTTTATTACTAACCGTCTCAAAGTGCAGATTTTGTGATAACAGTTATTCAGCACTGCAAATGTATTTTACTCAAGTTATTTTAACCCACACTAACAAACGGAACATAATACAGTAGAAGACTTGATTGTTACAATTGCAGTAAGTACAGTAAGTGCTCTATAAATTAATTACCAAATAGCTCCAATGTGTTTTTAATTTCAAGTTTTTTTTATCCAATGTGTGGTCATGGATTTACTATGCATGGATCCATTTGTATGTTAGGTAAATGCACCATCCATTTAAATGGGCTTTCTGAAGTTTTTGCCAGCAAAACGTGCTTTGTCCCCCAGCTCCTCTTCAATTCTGCAATAAAAAAAAGAAAAAGAAATAAAAAGGAGAATAAGTTATTTTTTTTTATGCCTTTATTCTTTACATGTAGACCTTTCCCTTTGTTTTTAAAACGTAAAAAGTTCATAAACAATATGAGCCAAGAACACAGACAATTCTGTTAATTGTCCAAAATGAATTCCCAAGCAATAAAACAATATAATAATAATAATAATAATACATGGGACTTTTATAGCGCTTTTCATGAAACTCAAAGACGCTTTGACAGAGAATTAAGAAAAGAAAATGCATGCACGGCCGCATTTCAAACTTTTACACTATTCGGATGATATTCCTCATTTTGTTTTAGACTTACCTAAGTATCTGGTTGTATTTGGCCAAACGCTCAGAGCGACAGGGTGCCCCAGTCTTGATCTGAAATTGCATGACAAAATGTGTACAATTAATTCAGTGTTATAGGGATTATATTTTTTTACATTTATGTCAAAGGCATTACATTCTCAAAAGAAACCAGGGCTATGGCATGTCTGTCACCACCCTTAAAATAAATGCAGTATTTTAAAAGGCCTAAACACCAAAAAATATGGATTAAAGCAGAATATTTTGTGTAGGAAATTACTACATCTATCGTTTAAAAAACAAAATGTACTTTTACATTTTACAACACTCAAGAATTATTTGAAATGTTTGGATCGGATGTGTTAAATTATCAGAAGGAAATGCTGCATTTAAACAGAATAAAAAGACATTCATAAAATGCAACAACAGAAAAAGCATTTGAATGTAGATTAAATATAATTATGTCAACGTATTGGATGCCGCTTCTATTCGGTACAGCCCTAAGAGTCACTCAAGCATTCCCTTTTTTATTTTTTAAAATCGGCATTTACCTGTCCAGTGCACAAGCCGACCACCAGATCTGCAATGAAGGTGTCCTCGGTTTCTCCAGAGCGATGGCTGACCATCACCCCCCAGCCATTCTCCTGAGCCATCTTACACCTGTGAGCAGGACCAATGAGGGACATTACCGGTCATTGTGTTGTTTATAGTCTAATACTCAATTGATCTACAGACACATGCTCGATTTATTTTAGAAGTCAAGTATTGACTTACGCTTGCATGGACTCCGTTACTGTGCCAATCTGATTGACCTTAAGCAGCAGGCAGTTGCAGGCCTTGTCCTCCACAGCCTTGCTGATGCGATTAGGGTTTGTCACCGTGAGATCGTCACCAACAACCTGGATCTCTGTGCTGGCTGTGAAGCTGGACCAGGCCGCCCAGTCGTCCTGGTCAAAGGGATCCTCGATGGAAACCACTGCGAGTGAAAACATGCAGACATGATCGTTAGGGCTTCAAACTGAAATCTGTTGTTCCATCAAAAGAGTCTTCAAAACCAAATCAGACAGCTCCATAATCAACCAATCCCAGCTTGTTATCTTGTAATATATTAGGTCCAACAAGTTAAGAAACTTGAGCAATGTCAAGTTTTATCGTTTTTATAAAAAAATGTATTGGGAGTTCATAGGTAGTCCCACGTGAATGGAGTTATTTGTACCTTAGTCTAACTATGCCACAAGGTCCCAATAATAAATCAGATGTTTTAACAAAATTGATTCATGTCATCATTGACAGGTAGAGATTATCATCACTTGTAAAAACAGTATATAAAATGCAGGTTTGAACTAACATTTATAACATTGTACAGGGTTAATTTCATGAGAACAAAAACAGTGTGTTACTTTTTGGAAAGTGCTTTGATGAGGTTTACTTGCTTCAAAAAAGGACATGACTTTCAACCTTTTCCCCCTCTTCTGTTTAATATTTGTTTAAGACTCAAGCTGCAGCTCAAGATGCCAAGTGCTTTCTATTGTGTATTTTAAGATCCAACATAGGAATTGATGTTAATATGAACATAAGTGTTGTTTTTGAAAGCTTCCCAAGGATGAAAAAAGGTGGTTGAAGTAGAAAATCAGTGTTGAACAAAGCAAACAATGTGTGTAGCTCACCTTCATGAGATTGTATCCTGCTCTCTGCTTGCTTAATCATGTATAAAAGGAGAAAGTGTCTGCACGTTACCTGGATAATCCTTCACAAAGCTCTTATAGAGATCGGCCAGCTCGTCAGGGCTGATGTAACGGCTCGGGTCATCGGGCGACTTGAAGTCCAGATCGTATTTTCCCTCCCTGTAGAATTCAGACGCTGCCACATCCATGCCGATCACAACCTTATCGGTGTATCCTGCCTTGGCGATGGCCTCCTTCACCAACTCCAGAGCTGCAGAGTTAAACAATCAGTATGACACTCCACTAGAACACAATCATCAACTGCAGAACCATCAAAACAAGTAACAATTTAAGTCGGCAAACTTTTCCAAAAGTATTGTTTTGTTTTTTTAAAACACATTCTCTGCCTGTTTACAGTGTTTTTCTTTTTCTTCTTTTGGTTGTACTTTGGTCTTTTAGTTTAGTTTTTTTTAGATTATAGCAGTTTGACACTGGACAATTTATTTTTGGAAAAGAAACCAGAAAGCTGTGCTTATCTTTAAAATGGTTTATTTACCTGCAGCTCAAAAATAAATCATCCCTTTACCTTCTTTGTTCTCCAGAATGTTTGGAGCGAAGCCTCCCTCATCGCCCACATTGGTGGCATCCTGACCGTATTTCATCTTGATGACGTTTTTGAGATTGTGGTAGACCTCTGCTCCAATGCGCATGGCTTCCTTAAAGGTGCTTGCACCAATAGGCAGGATCATGAACTCCTGCATGGCGAGCTTGTTGCCTGCATGAGAGCCGCCATTGATCACATTAAAGGCCTGGTGGAGGTGGAGAGAAAGGAGAGCTGTGAATTAAAGATCCCCTGGAAGGTAAACTGAATAATGAAGAAAATATACCAGGATATTGATGCATGTACAAAGATACTCACCGGCACAGGCAAGATGACCTCTGGGTTTCCTGCAAGGTCAGCAATATGACGATACAGGGGGACACCTTTCTCTGCTGCACCAGCTTTGCAAACAGCCAGGGAAATACCCAGGATGGCATTTGCTCCAAATTTGGCTGTTTGGGGTAATAAAAAAAAATATTAGCATTCATTTATGTCTACCTACTGCAATCAGAAGGGACATTAATAATACAAAATCTCAGATCTAAGAACATGCATCCAATATTTGTATAAAATACTGCATAATGCAATATAATCTACTTAAGTCTTTTTTTGGAGTTATAATACTATGATCCGATAAAATGTCTGTGGGTGACCTGCAATTATGAAGTATTTAAATACGTGACCTAATAAGACAATACTTTAATTTGTATATTATTAATGTTCTATACTGTACACTATATCTCCATGCTTACAACTATAACTATACAGCGTTTAAGCAGTTCTATGTTAGTTCATCATCTATTGTAGACTATAGGTAATCGTAGCAAATGTTACCAAACGTTTTTCTTACAGGTCACATAGGTCATCTGACCTCAAGTCAACTGAACTCGTGTTTCACTTGTCAAACCCAAAATTGATGGTGTCAGACTAATGGAATATATATTGTAACCTTAGAGTAAAGCATAGCCTTGTTTTACAGAATGATCATCGTCACTAACATTTGTTCTCTGTGCCATCCAAGTCAATCATCATCTGGTCAATTTTCTCCTGCTCAACCACAGACAATTCCTGAGGAGACGAGAAGAACAAGATGGGAATGATTAGTGTTGGGGAAATATTTTCCTAGGCCCATAACTTTGACCCAGTTAATCAGTTTGTTCTGCCCTCACTGAGCACAGGAATGCAACCTTGGGCTGCTGTGCTCTCAGTGTTTTGTCTCCCTATTCCTGCCTGTTGGCGTCACCTGATAGAGGTGTTAGTGCTTTGCCTGTTTTATCTTGTAATGCAGCATGTTGATGATTCTCTCAGAGCTAGCTAAATACATGGGACTGGGGTAGAGATCTTCAGAATTGGTCAGGCAACCACTGTGTCACCTCTTGACTGCAGCACATGTCAATTATCCGGCATAATAAACCATCAGCGTTTGCCATCAAGCTCCAGCTCTCCCTGTGTCACTGAGTTTCGACTCCATTGCTCCAGAAGTTTCCATCACAATTAGTACCAAAACAAGGAACAGTCCCACATTTTTTTAATTTGTGACAGTGATAATTATCTTCTTACCTGGCCAACAAGTGCAGGTCCAAGAGTTGAATTGATGTGGTCTACGGCCTTTGAGACTCCTACAACAGAAAGATTAGTTATGTTACAGTGTTATGGACAAAACATGACAAAAGCATCGATATAGATATGCAACTTTTTTTTCTCAAACACATACAGAGATTCATGCAATTGTATTTTTTTTATAAACTGCTTTTAATGATCAAACTTACTTTCTCTTATTGAGCATGCCAACACAGTTTTATGTCACCATCAATCCACGGGCTTAATATCAATACTGGAGTGAGAGCATGCTTTACTGACAATGCACCATGCTATTCAAGCATTCAGTGATGAGTTGTTATGTTGTTGTGTGATTATTGGTCTAAGGCAGGGGTTTTCAAAGTGTGGGAAGGTGAGCTTCCCCTCAGAGAACATAAGAACAGCCGTGCCCCCCCCTCCCAATTATTATTGCTATTATTATTATTGTTGTTGCTATAATGAAGGGGTATTTCATAGTCGCTATAAAAAAATACGTCATTCGGAGGTTCCTCGCTTTCGGTCACATGGTTGTTCGGGGTTTTCTGTTTTTATCAACAGCAAACTAACAGTACTCCTCCAAACATATCAAAACGTACTAAGACAAAATCCGATGTCGTGTAGAGACATTGTTCCCTCCCTGGGAATCCTATCATTGTTTGAAGTGAAAACGAAAGACCGGAGAGTTCCAGCGACTGTGTACAGATAACGAGTTCCTAGGTGCGCGGTCTCGTCTACGAACACTAAGAGCACCTTTCGGCGGTGCGCATCTCCACCTGGGGAACATGTGACTGTGTTCCATCAAAAATACCAAACTACTGTGATATAACTTTTTCGACCGCAACATATATAACTGTTTTATGTTACGATTTAACTCAAGTGGATCGACTAACAAACTCAGTGGTGACGAAGACGAGGAGTACCATGTAAAGTGTCCGAACAAATCTCGTGCGACCGGATGGTTCCGCGCACCGGAGCCGTGACGCTTTAGAGTGCTTCGAAGACCTGAGTCCCCTGTTGTACTGTCTCAGAGGCGTGGAACCCTTTCCACGGGGGCATCTCGGATACGATCGTCGGTCCGGCTTCCGTCTTGACCTCGATGTCCAAATATTAGACAACAAGTAATAGTGTTCATTTTTAGAATGCATGTCATAAGTGTAGCAATGCAACCTTATAAAACAAGGGGGCTACCATAAGACCTATAAAATTATCCCGGATGTTCAATTCTCGTGTTAGAACGACTTTACGAATAGTAAAGTTTGGAAGAAAAATTTACGATTTTTAAAAGGGCGCAAGAGAAAAAAGGAGGACAAAGTACACGTCCACCGCAATCACTCACGGCTACCTACAACGGACAAGGGAGAGCTTAAGAGAGAGAATTTAAAAAAAAGGTTAAGCTGAAAAAACTGGTCACCAAAAGTTTCACACTCCCCGGCGAGGCCCCCCACCCCACGGTCTCTCTCGAAGTCCCCCTACACGTCGCAACTATGTTGTTCTCTATTGCCTCTTGACACTTTAGACTCGATCCCCAAGGATTGAAATACGCCTCCGCCGGTTGGTACCTAGCTAAAAAACAACTTCAATGGCATTTGCACTCTCTCTCTGGTCGTGGACCGTCTTTTGCAGTGAACGTGTGAAACCACAGTCACCTCTGGGCTCAAGGGGGTGGAGCGGTTTTAACGACATTTTCACGATAAGGGAATGGAGGTGGATGGACACACTCACGCCAAAGGCGTACCTGAAACTTGAGTTTGTCGCCAGTCGACGTCGGTCATCCTAATAGACGCAAATAAGGACCAGATAGTGAACGCAGAGGCGTAGTGGGTGGACACACGTAGTTTCGGCGTCTCCAGTAAACAGGGTGATTCTTCATCCAACTCACACTTTCTTTCTCCTCCGTTTCAAACTGCAAAGTCACACAACGGCCCTCCCGTATGTTCCTAAATAGGTGCTACAATTTCTTACAAATTCTGTATTTCCAAATTTTTTCAATAACAATTACAAAATTCCTCCACTTGATGAGCTCGGGTTAGTTTAGCCACGTCAGTCATCAGTCGTGCCATCTAAGTCCGTGGTGCAGTGTGTCTCCGCTCCGTTCTTCTCTCATTTGTCAGTCTCATTAAAGTTCACCGCACGAGTTTTTTCCTCTTTCCATCTGTCGCTTTTGTCTCGTAATAAAACTCTCTACACCTCTACGCATTTACAAGAGAATTGACCTGGAGA